AAAAAATGTTTAAATCCAATGCAAATCAAGAAATTATGATGCTAAAATTATAAGACTAACGACCATGAAAAGACGTTTATAGGGTGAAATTAGAATCCCGATTTTTTACTCCTCATCTATTGATTTTATTTATTTATTTTATAGTGCTACAAATGAGAATAGAATATTTGACCTTCCGATTATCAGCCTTTTGCGTTAATACAAGTTTTAGAGCTTCGTTTCATTTTCGATATAAACATTTTTGGTATAAAATCCACCACCTCGAAATGTTTGTGCTTTAAGAAATTTTACTTGACTTGTATTATTTTCTTATTTTACTTATTTTGACTTTAAAGGGGGAAAATGATCGACCGTTAAACAAAGTCAAGCTCTTGTCTTCGTTAAGAAAGGATCGAGACGGTTGAAATGTTTTGATGCAATAAATAAGTTTAAATTCACTATAACTACAACTTAAGTGAAAACCTCGACTTAACTATCGAGCTAATAACATCTCTTTATTCAAAAACAAAATAAAGTGCAATGAAACGAAACTTAAGCGGTCATTTACTTTATTTATTTGCGTTTAAAAAAGAACAAGCCGGAAAAAAGCGATAAAGTGAAGGTCAGTTATAAAATAAAGAAAATGGTGAGAAGGAAAGTAAAAGATGTAAAAAAAAAATATTGGAAGAAAAAAGTTAATGAAAGAAAAGCAGAAAGATGATGATCATGAAAAGAAGTAAAAGGGGAAAACGTAAAAAAAAAAAAGAATGTTGTAAATTAAATAGCGAAAAGGTCGGATGAAAAGAAAATGAATTTAGAGAAAAATTAAGTGAAGGAAATAAAAATGATGAAATGAAAATTGAAAGAAGAAATGAAAACGGAAAGGGTTATAATGATCAAAGAAATAGATAATAAAGAAGATAATAATGAAAAAGATGAAGAAGTCACAGCAATAAATTTTCAATCAGATAAAATAAAAAGCTGTCTCACCTATAACTACCCTCGGTCGTTCACGAAAAAAGAAAGAAAAACAAACATACATGATTTGTAAGTGTCGTCATTGGTTTTATCGAAGCTGAACGAAATTAAGAGCCGCTGTTTTATGTAACTACGTGTGGGTTCTGAAACAATGCAGCCGATAACGGAACTGGACGTGGTAAAATTTATATAATAGTAAGAGTAAGCAGTTTGTAGTTTCGCTGAAGAATGATTGGACATATCGGATAAGGAAAAAATGGCCGCTACTTACTTATTTTTTAATTATTTACGAGTTTAATTTTTTCATTGCATTTCTATTTTATTTTAATGAGCATAGAAAGGCAGAGGATTAAAACTGAGTTTCAGTAAAAATGCGCTTTTAGTGTTGCTTAAAGCATAGGTTACTAAGAGGCAAATGCTAAACAGAAATTTTAAAAGTAAATTCCCTCTTGTCTCTTTCTCTCTTTATTTATTTTATTTCTCTTTCTCTTTGTTATTCTGACTTTGTAATACAATAATAGATAATTTCGCTTTCTATTTAACTCATGTTTGACTTTTAAGTACACAATTGCGTCCTGGGTCTTTAGTAGTAAATTCAGCTGACTGAATCACACACACACACACACACACACACACACACACACACACACACACACACAAAAAAAAAAAAAAGACATTGAAGAAAACACCCAGCTTCACGCTACACACAGTCGTCTGGTGTTTTCAATGTCCGACAAAGTCTATTTGCTTAATTTTTTATTATATTTTTTTTCAATTTTCGTTATTAAGTTGTGGATAATTTGTCCAAAGTTCATATTTTGATATATTTGCTTCAAGAACTGATTTTATCAAGAATCGATGTGGTAGTTAGATTTGAGAGTGTGGTATTTAGATTACTTTGTATAATCCTTGGTGTTCTTTGAGAAGCTGAACGTTTGAATTGGTCTAGCGTGATGTCATGTACAGCGGCTATCGGGAACGAGGTCGCACAAAAAGAATGCGATTTATTCATTTTATTTATTTATTACATTTTAATACTAATATAATATGTGCGCGCATTATTTATATCATATGAACTTCAAGATATCTTCTCCTGTGGTTAATGATGCTTTATTTAATGCCGGCTGTGCTGTTTATTTTGTATAATAATAGCTTCTAGGGTACAGAGTCTTTCCTTGTATTGTGTGCTGTAGAATATTTTGCTGTTATATTGATTGTTATATTTTGGTCGTTCATGATGTGTTGGTCGACATGTACACGGATTGCACTGAATTTCGACATGTGATAGGCCAATCTGCGAGAGATTGTGGTGCATATTTAAGTATTTAATGTAAGTATCTAACGTTTTTTTATTATTATTATTAGTGTTGGAAATGCAATCTTCCAGCGGGCATGAGAATTCATAGACAACATTATTTTTACATAGGGGAGATATATAAAATGTTCGGTGTTGTTGATAATAATTAAGTTAGATCTTTTAAATTTATTGTAGTAGATGATAAAATAAAATAACAAATAGGAAACGTATATCAATCTAACACGTTACACTTTTATTAAAGCTTCGTTAGACATTGAGAGAAAACAGACAAAAAAACGGAAAACACTGATATTTTCTATTATGTTTGGGTCAGTTCTCATTGGTCAGACATATGCCACGTGCATTTAAACCATGGATAATTCTATGTGTATGTAGGTTTGTGAAAAATGTTGTATGTTTAAGTGGGCAACAAGTGGTAATATGTATTTGTAATTGTGTGCATTTGCCTGTCTAGCACAGGTTTTTATTTTGCCTTTTGTGCGATCAACTCGCGCACTCGCAGGGTTCTGATTTTATGGCTCGCTTCTTTAGTAATGTATTTTGGGGGATTAGAGAGCTATATTAGGAATGTATTTTTCTATTAGAGAGGTATAATTAGATTTTTTAAGAATGGATTCAAAGAAAGACGACGATGTAATCTAATGTTTTAGGCGTGTGTTTATAGTTGGTAATAATATTATTATTAAGTTTTCAATGCGTTTAGTGAAATCGAAGCTATGTCTAGCATCGTTTCGATGCAAAGCGAGAGCGCTAGATCGATTGTCAAAACGCAAGTCTCTCTCGTGTTCGGAGATGCGGCCATTTAGATCACGTGATGTCTCCCCCACAAAATCACTTTTGCATTATAAACAATTTATTTGGTAAATCCCGACATTTGAATCTGTGTTGGGTTTATTTTTCTTTTAATTATCTAATTTTAATTATCTAATTAATATTCTGTAGTAAAGCAAAAAGAAATCCAGACCAATTCTGTTGTAGAACGAACCTTAAATAAACATAGACATTTTTCTGTCTACCACTGTGCTCCCCCTTGCCCGTATTCTTCTGAGAGGAGATGGCAAAGGAGGAGAAGGATATTTTTCCCGTCGGATTAGATTCTGCGGTTGTAGTATCTGTTCTGTGCTTGAGACCTTCTTTCCTCAATTGCGTTCCCCTCGCCGTTGTGTGACATCTGTTACGTAGCAGTGGTATGACCGGCTGTGAATAGCTTAGGCTTAGACAAACTCTGACCAACTTACACAAGCCATGACCAGCTTAGATAAGCTAACACCGGCAGGCAGATATAATTTTTACTAACGGCCAGGTGAATGGTAATGGGCGCGAGACTGTGCGGCTGTATCAGATTGCATTTCCAGACCGAAGGCAGCCAAGTCATTCACCATTTGTTGCTGAGATAGGATCCGTGGTATCACAAACAATGGACCGAAGAAAACCACGAAGAACACATTCTACAGGCTGTCGGAGGCGATCCAAGTATCAGCACACGTCAAGTGGCCCTAGCATTTCGTACATGGAGAGCACTACAAGAGCAGCTCTTGTATCCTTATCATTTGCAACATGTGCAGGGGTTTTCGCCCTCTGACCACTCACCACGAAATAACTTAAGCCGTTGGTTTATTGCACAAACTGCCGATTCGTTGTATGTCTATTCAAGCTTGTTTACGGATGAGGCAACTTTTAAACGAGATAACACATTTACACAACCAACACTTGTGTGCGGATCAGAATATCCATGAAACAATACAGACTAGACACCAGCATCAGTTTAATATCTGGACTGTAGGTAACTGTCTGCTAGGTCCATATGTTCTCCCAGCACGTCTTACAGGAGCTGACGACATGGACTTTATTTCGAACACAATTTCAGACCTGCTAGAGGATGTACATCTGCTAATACGAAGACGCATGTGGTTCACGCTTGATGAGGTTCCAGCACATTTTAGCCACATTGTTCGCGATGCACTGGCTGACATCTACCATGAAAGATGGATAGGTAGGGGAGATGATTCCATGGCTTGCACTTTCACCCGACCTCCATCCTTTAAATTTTTATCTGTGGGACCAATTGGTTTATGCAGCAGACATTAATAATGCAGAGATGCTCCATCAACGTGTTATGGGGGCCTGAAAAACCATTCGACACCATGTGGGTGCATTTGAAAGGGTTCGCTAGTCAATGATCTGACGAGTGCATGATTGCGCAGAAGCAAGTGGAGGATATTTTGAAGATTTGTTATTAGTTACTGTGTTGAGGTACAACGACGACCTTTTGGACATATTTTTATATGATCATTTACCTTGTTTTGGTGTCAAGAACCCATTCCCCAAAGTTTGTGTCTAGCGTAAAACTCTAAACTTAATAATTCAAAACAGAAGGATTTGCGCATATATATATATATATATATATATATATATATATATATATATATATATATATATATATATATATATATATATATATATATATATATAATATTGTTAGATTGTAAGAATTTTTGAGATAATAATGATAAAATTCTATTAATGAACTTCTGGTTGCGGGGATAAGCGGTATTGTTGCTGCTTATCGTTGCTGCGATAAGATCCGTGGTATCAAAAACTATAGACCGAGGAAGACTAAGAATAATGATATTTGTGCGTAAGTGAATATAACGAACCTGACTGGAATTGGAACTTGGCTGTCTGATTTACAATTCCGAGTCGTTATCCATACGCACATCCAAACTTGCACTACCTGGTATTTTCAAGCGGTAACCCATCTAAGTATTGACCTAGCTGAACGTTGCTCAACTTCGGTGACCGTAAGAGAACCAGTGTTTTAACGGGATATGACCGCAAGCTTTAAAGAGAAAATAAATAATAAATACTTTGTCAGTTGTCACCAAATTGCATTTCCCTATTGGATTCAAAGGCATTTAGAAGGAGAATAGTAAATACACTAAGCCAAGTAAACAAACACATTTTGAAGTGGGGAACTAACTGATCGAGAAAAGAAATATGATAAATCACTCTTAATTTTTTTTTTTACTTTAATTTGAAAAGGCATTTGAGACAGCTGAACACTTAGTGTTTTTAACTCATTACGCAAACAGATTAGAAAGAAAGTTATATAAATAAATTTTATATATATAAATTTCACCTAAATTATTTACAACAAGCATTAAAAGTATCTTCTGGGAAAATAATAAGTTAAAGAATGTGAATAAACAAACGGAAAACGTTTGATCAATTTACGGATTGTGGATGAGATGCGATTAATGCTCAATCACCTTGATAAGTGCATTTTTTAAATGAATAGAAATAAAATAAAATTAAAATTTAATTGTAGCGTTCCAAAAACAATTATAAGAATAAATGAATAAGTAGAAGACGCTCAGAAAATATTTACCTCAAAGTAGATGTGATAAAGTTGAGAGAAAAGAGGCGTTCGAAAAGCATTTGGTAAAAATAGAGCATAATGAAAATCACTTTGTCAGTATGCTTAAAAAGAATAAGTCACTTGTAGATTTTAGGGGCCTTGAAGATTGAACTTGTTCACAAGGAGCAAAAGCAGGGCTATACCCAAGAAGGTTCAAATTGTCCTTATTATCCTGGAAAAACCAAGTGTCAAATGGCAGGGTATCACATGGTTGAAAACGAGGGATATAGCCTGGGTAACCACCGTTAATTTAATCAGTGGGGCTGTTCTACAGTGGATAAGCACAATGTTTTTTTAAAAAAATTTAGCCACATCATCTCAGATTCTCATAAAATTTTCTATGCTAGGTTTTCACACATGTCATTGTCACTGATGTGATTAAAAGTTTCCTTTGCATTATAGTTTTCGAGTTATAGAAACATGTTTAGAGAAATTGGGGAAACGTTATTTATATGCAATGACTGTGACGTAAAACAGTTGAATAAAATCTTTTATTTTAGACACCAATGAGAATACATACACATTTTACAAAATACACGTTTTTCTTTTCTTTTAGCAATATATTTATATACTTCCCTATAATGTCTTTTTCTATAGACAATACGTCCAAAGAATTTAATAATAGACCAAAGAATTTAATGATAGACCAAAGAATTTAATGATAGACCAAAGTTTATCCGTTATAAAATATAGATTTGAGAAATTTCAGGTTAATTATGAGATTAAGCGCAGAAATGTGAGTGAACATTTCAAGTAGGTGTTATTCAAGAACTTTGGTGAACTGCATTTAAAACGATGTCTTCTGAGATTTTCTATCCTTCTGATAAACCTTCATTTACTATTTTATGGTCAGTATCATCTTCGCAATGTGATATTATAATTTTTCTTTGATTTCAAAATGATTTACTTTTTCTGAGTGTAATTCGAACCACTTTTACAATCTACTTATCTGAGTCAATTCTTTTGCATAATTGGACTTTTCAGTTGATTTAGGACTTCGGTTCTAAATTTGTCAACTCCTCTAAAATAAAAGCCATACCAATTCTCCCATCTGAAAATTTCTTCATGACAAAGCATTTTGAGGAGTAACTTTGGTAGGTGATATCTTCACACATATCTTTTGCTTCTGATTGTGCAATGCTGTCTTATTCAATTTTCTCGCAGTCCTTTAAGAAATGAAAGATGACAGCAGAAGATAACTTTCAAAAACACCAAAATTAATAAAATTTCTTGTTCTGTTGAAACGCTTTGTTTTCTTTTTAAACGATTAGCAAAATATCATACCCAAACTTGACCCGCTTGTATAAATTCTTTGCATTTCTTTAACATTCGGATTTCCCTTCTGAGTTTTCCAAATAATTATTTTTGAGCTTGTAAAATATGTATCTATTTTAATTACCCAGACTATTTAATAGCTTGCAAACCATTGAGTTATAATTAATCGCTTTATAGAAAATTCTAGATATTTCTGTGCTTAAAATCCATCATCTTCGTGGAGATCCAGAAAATTGAGGTTGAGTGAATTGGCTGAATATGGTTTACAGCTTGCATACCTTTTAATGAAGACCTCTTACATCGCTTTTTTCGAGCCCTCAATTTTAGATGCATTATCTGACGGTTAACCCCGGATATTTTCAAATGAAAGCTTTTATTCACCAAAGACTAATTAATATTTTTATTGGTAAAAATGCTAAAATCATTCATGTTTTTTCCATTATAAACGTATCAAACCAAATTGGACTGGTCAAAATATGTGGGAGCAGGCGAAGCGTTAATATTATTGTTTACCCCTGCACCTACTTCGAGATATAGTAGTATTTGTGTGTGAATTGCTGACTTGATTCACTCTTGCATAGTTTTCCAGTGGTTTTTATCAATTCTTCACTCACAGTATCCATAAATAAGTAATATGTTTATGGAATATTTAAGTTTATTTTTTGTTTCATATAAATGTTGATCGAACTCTATAATAGTTCAATAGAACTTTATAAAGTTTCCTTTATTTAGTGAGAACTAAATCGTCTTCATTACTTCGAAATGGCAAATTGCTTTTCAGTAAATACTTTAAAATACCTACAAATCTTTTCAGTAGTACAAAATAGTTATGTATGCTTTTCTCATCTGCTTGTCACGTTGTTGATCCGCAGTTTATAACTTTATGTTTCATGCTGTCTTCATGATTCTTTTGAATTCTCTGTATCTTCATCCAGTCTGAAAAGCCACTTGTTGTAAATGGCATTTAGCATTTCGTAAGAAAGTTTGCAAACAAAACATTATATACAGGCTTTGTTCTAACCTGAATCTCACTACAATGTGATGAATATTTTTTCAAAGTATTTTGGTTAGTTGTTACTGTATTCTTTGAAATCGCTGAATTTGCTTCCTGCTTCCTTTTTCAGTTCTCTCTCTTCTTATTCCAGGGCATATTCATGTTGGCCAGTGAGGTCGTCAGCTGTATCAAAAGTCTCAACAGTCGGTCGAATGTTGCCAGCCAAATCTACTGCGGTTTGTGCATTATCAAAAGCTTCACCGCTGCTTGTTTGGCTTATTAGAGCCATAAAGTTGTTATTAGTTGATTTTATATTATTTCTTACAGAATATATATTATATACAAATAGTACTACCCCCGCCAAGAATGGCCAAAGCCAATCAGTTTCCGCAAAATAAGTACTGAATTTAAAATGTTGTTGCAGAGAAACAAATAGTTATATAAAAACTCGTTAGATGAAGACACCATGAAGAAGAATAACTCGGGTAAAATGCTGCGGTGACATTTTAACCTTGAAATGTGCCTCATGAATATTCATCTTGAAACATCTATAAAGAATTTTACGCCAGAATTACAGGTAAATGAGAAAGAAACCAGTTTTGTCAGTTTCAAAACCTTAACTGAATAAGCAAATTATAATGTTTTACGCAAGAAACCAGAAATATCTCAGTAAATGAAACCAGTAGAACTATACACATAAAAATATCATCCTTGCTATGAAGCACACTTATGAATACAACTTGGCCTATACATATTTAAGACTAAACATTAGCAAAAAATAATCGAAAACGAAAAAAAAAAGATGATTTTCGTGGAACAAACGTTATACCAACCAACATAAAAACGCTAAAAATAGAACTGATTCATTCTCTAATAGAAGAAATTTGTCATCAGACACAGAAGGTCACTAGAGGTGGTTTGTTAAGGTAAAGGGGGACAAACAGGATTTTTGATGTGTAAATGTGCAAGAGCGACGAGTCTATCCAGAATTAAGAATTTAAATATCTTTTATGGTTCCGATTGACTATATAATATTGGTTGAGCTATAAAATTAAGTCCTGCACAAAGGAAGGATTTGATGATTCACCTGCTAAACTGTCATTTATGAATCAATTCAAACGAGCTTAGCGAATCCATACAGCTTTATGTTCGAGCGCTGTAAACCATTGAGAAAGGTTTGACAAATTCAAAGACATTTTGAGGGAGAGGAACTCTTTGAGGGCATATGAATTGAATATCAGAGCATATTCTAAAGTCAATATTAAGGCTCAAAAGTCTTATTTTACTGGTAAATATTTATAAAGAATCTCCATCGATTTTGTATAATAGATGTGTAATTGTATATCAGCGCGAAACATAATAATTAACAAAATCAACTGAAAAGAAAATGAGAAATGTACAAACATCAATGAAAAATGTCATTTTATGAATAAACTCTAAGAAATAGATTAGCATGGATTAAAGAACTAGTCAAGATAATAGATATTGTAGAAATAAATAAAAGACAAAAGTTGACGGGATACATACAAAGAATGATAGGATCCGAACAGATACATAGTCAGGGTTAATACAAGTGACTTTATAGAGAAATGTGAAAAAAATCTTTCACGCATATATTTTTCAAGTGAAAATGCATTCTGACAAATTTCTCTAAGCAAGTCAACATTTTCATAATAAAATTGCTATTAACTAAATGATGTTGATAACATTTTCAGATTATATTTATATCTATCTAATAAATATATGATATGAATTTCAATTTATAATATCAGATTCTATTAGAAATATTTATTTGCGGTGATATTTTCTTTTGCATCTCAATAATTGTTCATCATCTTGTAAATGAAAATTTTAAATTATATGATTATTGATACTTATTTTTAATGTTAGATATATAAAAGCAGCGAATTAACGGAATGGTTTCATTCTCTCTAGATAAAAGAAAATGTTTAATCAATCATTAAAAGTGACGTGGAAAATATTATTCAAGCAAAGAATAAAAATATAAAAAAACTGCTACATGTTGAAACAATGGAAAAAGTAATAAAATCAATAAGTAAAAACCTGATGAATGTCAATATCAATATGTCCCTATTAACATGATAAATAATCAAATAAAAATATTAATGTGGGATATTGTGTCAATCAAATATATTTTTTGGCCTCTATCTTTTATTATCTGACATCCCTAAACAAATAATATTCAATATTTTTTAATAAGGATCAATATTTTAAACTGGGACTCACACGATACGTTGCTCATATAAATACATCAACATTTTATCAACATCGGTTGGATAATAGCAGTTTCATTAAAATTCGCATTTGCATAATAAAATCTGTAATAGTATAGTCTCATTATATATATCCATAAACAAAAGCTAAATAAGCATCTTTTTCAATAGAGTGTAATGCAGTAAAACTGGTATAATTTTGTTCACATTTTATTGTTGAAATGTTGGTTTAGATCTTCAATTTATAAAAAAATCCTACCCTGTCTTATCTTTTAAAGGATCATGTTGAATGGGTGACAAGTTACATTGATAATAATGAAAGAAACAACGATAAAAATTCCATCTATAATAAACAAGGACACGCGTAAGAAATATATTTAGACATTAGTGCAAGCAGCAAGAAAGAGTGTTAGCAAAAAGAAAAAAGATCGGATGGTTGTAGAAAAGGTCATAGTGAAAAATAAAAATAAATGATGTCAGGATAAAAAAAATAAATGAAAGAAAGAATAAAAACATCAAGACAATAGCATGAAGGAAAAAAGAGAAAAATAGAAAGAGAAATAATGAGGTCAGGAATGAAAATGACTAAAGAAAGAAAAAAGTAGGGGAAAGAGTGTCCAAAAAGAAACAAAAAAGAAAAGGTATGGAAAAAAACTAAAAATTAGTAAGAAAAAAGTAACAGAGAAAGAAAACTAAGATCGGCAAAAGGAATTCAAAGAAGAAAAAGAACATAAAAAATTTTAAAAAATCGTTTTTCCCAAGACCCATAATAAAAAATTTCCACTGTTACAAGCCTCATCACTTAGACGAAAGCGAGCGATCAGACTCGCGCACGCGTAATGGCGAATGATTTACTTAAAAATGTCCGTCGGACAAGATAAGTTGCTCTCTTCTCGCCGACTAGACCTGAAGGGGGTCCCCTCCGTGAATTATTGAATATTCACGCGTACAGTAAGAAATCCGTAGGACATCCAGTGGTCGAAGTTGCTAGCTCTGTGGACATCATATATCTCACTGTAATTTCCAGTTTTATGATTAATATGTAGACGACAACAACACCGTGGCCAGACTTGTTCCAGCCATCATTTTTAACTCAAACCTTTCTTTCTTTATCGCTTATTAGAGTATCTATCACACTTAATCTCATCTTGCCTCCTGGTAGACGAGGGCACGCCACACTTGTAGAAAGGTCAGCTTATGTGGTAACTGATATTCCCTGCTCACAGCGCACACTGCTGTATCGGAAAAACTTCCGTGAGCAATATGTATATATATATATATATATATATATATATATATATATATATACACACACACACATACATACACACACACACACACACACACACATATATATATATATATATATATATATATATATATATATATATATATGCTTAATAACATTGGTTGGAAATTTGTGTTACTAAGTTGGAGTCTATTCCATTTTATATCTAATATTTATTTATAAGCATTGATATGTAAGAAAGATACGAGTCTAATTTATCGCGTATTCGGCTTGACTTTATTTCGTTTGGAAAAGAGTTTCATTTGTCTATTTTTATATATTGTATTCAATTTTACCATTAAGAAATACCTTCGCGCTTTTAGGATTCTATAACTATATAAAAGAGAATCACTAAAACAATGCACGTACATTTCCCCTTCACATAGTTTATTATTATTATTATTATTAGTGGTGGTGGTGGTGGTGGTGGTGGTGGTTGTAGCAGTTGTATTAGTAGTAGCAGTTGTAGTAATAATGTAGTATTTATATATTTTCTTTATTTTCATTGTTTCGTATGAGCTGTCCCCAAGTTTCAACCGGAGATGCCAAAAGACAGCAAGTTGTTACCCCTATAGTGTTAACAGGTGAGTTGCAATGTATTTTGTAGAGGCAGAAAATGTCCAAAATTTGTGCAGAAGCTTTTAAACTAAAAATTCCATTTTAGTTTCAAAAGTTCATGTTTACAGTACCAAGAAACCATTGGAAGTGAATTCATAACATATTTCTGTTTTAAAATTTCCCTCAACTATGGAGATAAATTTGCGTAATATGGGTGAATTAACCATCTGTGTGACTTTTTGTAATTCACGTGTACTGTATCTGCCAGGAAATTAGGTTACATATTTGTTTGCATCTTTCGACATCATTCCCAGTGCGTCAATGATTTCTGGTAGATTGATTGTTTTGAGATATCGCATTCGATCTGAAGTGTTCTAGTCTTTCAAATGTTTTGCCAGGTGGGATTGTGACATCTATCAGCAGGCATGTCTTTTCAACACGATTTTAACGATAATATCAAGTATTCCCCTTTGTATTTGTGCACTTCCAAAGAACTGTGACATTTGCATTTTGCACAATGTGGTGTTTTCACCAGTTTAATCCATTAGGGCAATGGTCAAACAAGCCGCATATCATCAACTGTGCGGACTATTTGTAACTGCACTGATAGGGCATATCGTGCAGTTATAAATAGTCCGCTGGTGGCAATCTGTTGGTCTTGTTATCGTTGTCATTATTATTATTATTATTATTATTATTATTATTATTATTATTATTATTATTGTTGTTGTTGTTGTTGTTGTTGTTCACTGCAGTAGTAACTGAGGGCTTACACTGGACATTGACTGAAAGCAAGTCTCATCGATACTTTAGCATGCATCTGAATATTCCAACCGTCTTCAGTAATACAACCGATTTTTTGTCTGACTTCCATCTTCTCTTGTCCTTTTCCCTAGGCTCTCCAGAATTATTCCCAGTCCTTTCATAATGACTGGTCCGGCTATTATCTGCATGTTTTCACAATTTCCAGGCAAGATCCAGATATTTATCCAATTTTTCACTTTCTTTCAGATTTACTCTGCCTTACACAAATCCATTATTTGGAATTTCGTAAAAAATTTTGAAAGAAAAGATATTTTTCAAGAAAACAAAAAATTGTAAGAATATATGTTTATTTATTTTTGGTGAGAATTGTTATAGAGGTACAATTGTTATAAAGGTATAGAACTATTTTATTAATTGCTTGGAAGCAACAATCATGATTGATTTAACATTACTGGATCAACTAGAAAAATACAAGGTGTATCAAAAATACTTTTACAAACTTTGGCGTCGGGTTCCTCACTTCAAAACAAAGACAAAAGTCCATATAAATATATGTCTGCAAATCCTTCGTTTTTGAGTTATTAAGTTTAAAGAAAGTTTACGATAGATGGCGCTGTGTTTAAATAAATATCAATAATAATAATCCATACTAACAATAAAATAGCTAGGTTTATCTGTATTCCTTTTGTGAAGAGGTATAAAACATTTTAAGACGAAAACAGTAAAGAGAAAGAAAAGCAAGTTAAAGTGCAGAAAAATTAAGTTGGAGTTGGTAAAAGTCCAAGTTTTACAGACAGCGAGAAGATAGAAAGAATATGAGAGGAATAAGTGAAAGTGAGTATGGAAGACATAATGAAATGAGAGTAAGAGAGAAATGAATAAAGGAGAGAGGGAGATGCATAAATTAAAAAGGATGTGAAAGATACGATAGAAGAGATAGGGAGAGAAATGAATCAGTGGTGGAGACGTGAGTAAAAGAGTGTGAGAGAGAAACAGAGAGAAAACGTCAAGAAGTGAGTCGGAGAACTAATGGAATGGAAAAGACACGAAAAGAGATTGTGAAATGAAAAAAATAAGTGAGTGGATACTAATAAGAGTTGGACAGAAACAAACAATATATAGCTGGAGAGACATGAATAAAATAAAGCTGTAGAAGAAACGAATAGAAATGAGTGGAAGAAATATGAATGTGAGAGAGAGAAAAATAATATAAGAAGATCAGGGAAAAGAATAAACGTCTTTATCAAAACAAATCGCATTCGAGAATAAGTCAACGTGATGAAAAATCGGAATAAAATTGATAAAAAGGAGAAATATCGAAAACAGAAATCAAATGAAAGATGAAGAGTGGTATGAAGAAAAAAACAGAAAAGAAAATGACAAGGATGATGGGAAAAAAGAAATATGAATGAATGAAATTTAAAATTTTGGTCGAAAAACTCGGAAGAAAACGAAAGAAAGAAAATGAAAGAAAGTCAGTCAATGTAGTCAAAATCGATAGCTGATAAAGAAAAGGTATAGAAAAGGGAACTATAGCTGCAAAGGAAGTAAAAAGAAGTCGAGTGAGGAGGGCCGAAAAAAAGGAGTGGTTAATGAACGAGATGGTTCGGAGAAGCTAATTATGGAAAGAAAGAGAAAGAAAAAAAAACTGAAAGAAAGAATTGTGAGACAAAAGGAAAAGAAATAAAAAAGAAACCCGTATCAGTATAAAATAGAAAAATAAATTGAAATAAACAAGGAAAAAAGTAGATGCGAATACTCAAGAAAAGATATATGGATAAAAAAAAATAATGAAATAGAAAAAACAAAAACCTAAAGAAAAAATATTTTGTAAGAGAAAGACGTAAAAATATGGCATAAAAAGTAGGGCCAAGAGAGAAAAATGTTCATGGAAAATCATTCTTCACAGATAATGTGAAGTGTCACCTTTTCTGTCGGTTGACGCTTTAAATTTAGAAGGTGGATAAAGGTAAAACGTCTATTTGATTCTTCGGAAACGGTAAAAAATGGATAAAGAAATGAATGAAAATAATGAATGGGCGAATTTAAATTGTTTACCTTCGTTACGATGGAAATGATGAGATCGTTCTCGTTGGCACGGTGTTTGATGATAAAGATTGAAGGGAAAGAAAGGAAGAGATAACATGTGTGAAGATCGGTTAAGTGGAAAGAAAGTGATAGAAAATAAGAAAGCATTTGTATAAAAAGAAAAGGATCAAAAGGAGCGAGAAGATGATAGAATAAATAAATAGCAAACTAGAGTCAAGAAGAAGAGATGAAGGCACAAATTAAAAGGGGTTAGGGGTTATTACAAATCAATTCGTAATTGACGGAAAGGATGACAAAAAGTCTGAATAAACAATTAAAGAAAGAAAACAAAAAAGAATGTATAAGGAAGGAAGTATAAAAGTAAAATGGAAATAAGAAGTATAAAAAGGAATTGAAATAAAGTAACAAAAAGGAAGGAAGAAGGAAATTTTATGAATTCATCTAAATAAGCGAATGCAACAGGTGGGTTCAGGAAAATTACTAAAGTAGGTATGACTGAATGGAAATTGTGTTCAACAAGTAATGGTACAAACCAACGATATATATATATATATATATATATATATATATAGGTAATTTATTTCAAAAAATCTAATATAGCATGACAAGAACGGTCTGAAAATTAACGAAAAAATTTTTTCATGATAAAAGTATATTTCATTATTGAGAAGAAACACTAAAGTATTTTTTTTGAGTAATTTTGAAATTTTTTACTCATTCTTAGCATGTCCGAAATTTTAGTTAAAAAAAACTGTTTACAGAAAAAACGAAAAAAAGCTCTATATCAGCCATATTTTTAAAAAATTTTAAAATAAGTTAAATTCTTCGTTTAAAATTCGTTTAAAAATTAATTATATATTTCAATATTTATTCGAAGAAATTTAGAAAATTTATTTATTTAAAATATTTTGAAAGAAACTTTTACTTACTTTCTTCGTAGAAAATGTTTTAAAGATAAAAGAGCCGATCTTCACGTTGCCGTTGATTGACAGAGTGCCAAGTGATGACATCAATAAATTATTGACAGCTGACGTGAGATTCGAGTTCCAACGGAAGCTTTAGAATGGACATATTATTTTTTTTAGGACCTACTTAAGTAGTAACTTGTAATATTTAAAGTAAAAAACTTTCGCCATTACAATTTTTTTTTTTTGTTAACTACTATGTACCATAGGTTTGTTGATATCTCTGGAGAAATTATAAATACTATTAAAAAAAAATTAAAATACAAGTGTTGCACTGCTGTTTGAGGGCCCATATAGACCCCTCTAAAGTCAATTCAGATTTGCTATTATAAAAAAAATTCTATCCCCAGTAAAAATAATCAAACATAGTAAAAAGTCATTTTGTCACAGCCTATAGGAAAAAATAAATAAATGGATTCTTATATTTTTATGTAATAAAAAATTACTTATCTGGAAAAATATCAGGAAAGTTTATCTGAATCCCATGAAACTAGGTATTTTCTGAAAGCAAACAATATGTTTCATTTAAAAGTGAAATTGGCCAGTGTAAATGATTGAAAAGTTTTTAGTTTTCTAGAGGCAAATGTGAATCTTACTTATTATAAAACCCAGGTTCTGTGTGTTACGTTTACATATTGGATCAATTTCCTACATTTTTTCAAATCCAATTTCAACCAAACATTACAGGAATGAAAACTAGATGAAAGTACCTATTTTAACTTAATGAAAATGGTGTTTCAGCAGGAACAGTTTGCTAAATTAAGGGCCGTATACAGCGAAGAACAACACTTACTAGACAGAAACTCAATCCACGTGACGTTATTTTTATTGCACGTACCAAACTTCTGGTCTTCCGTAGATTTCATTGGTAAACACATTATTGACAAATTAATTTTTTAATATACGAAGTCTTTGGAAATTATAATCTGTAAATATTTATCTACTTAAAACAACATCCGTTAAGCTGTACGGCTTTTCCATAATTTTAGAAGAATTAACAACATAATGTAAAAAATAAAACAATGGTTGCGGAAATAAAAAAAAAATAATTGTAGGTAATTGTTTTAAAATTCATTTTTCATCGAAATATCTTTTTTTGCTTTCAGACAATATTGTCCATGTTTATTGGAATAAATAAAAGCAATTAAAAGCTTTTGAAATTAAATAATATTTTTGTTTTATTGAGTTTTTGTATGTTACACTTCAGAGACGATTTTCAGGTAGAAGGGCTCCAACTAAAAAAACAAAAACATGATTTTGTTTCCTCAAAGCATTGTGCTTTTAACTGATATAATCACTAAACTCCTAAGAATTGAAATTATAGAGTTTTCGTACAATTAGTTAGAGCGGGTAAATACATATGAAAAAAAAAAATTTCTGAGATGACTTTACTAAAAAAAAAATGTATTTATAATAAGTTCCATCATTTGTAAATATTTCTGAAAATTTCATTAAAATCAAACAATTATTTTCCATTTTTTGCAAGATTTTCCAAATTAATGTGTGTCAAACGGGAAAAAACGCGCTAAAATGTTAACGTTAATTTATCAGCCAAGCTGATAAAAAGAGAAACAAGGTCTTTTAATCAAAATTTACAATGTTCTAAAAAGAAGGAAAAATTTCAAAAAATAAGTAAAAATACTTTGATCTTTCCTCTAAAAGTAATATAAGCATTTAGACGCGAAAATTTTGTTTTCATCAACTTTGAATCATGCTATGCTTTTTTTTAGCGATCTAACGGAGATATATATATATATATATATATATATATAGAGAGAGAGAGAGAGAGAGTTTATGCAAACTTAGGGTAATCCGTATGGGTAGACCCTGAGGAGGATGATATCCAGAGAGCTCAATGTAAAATTCAGAGAGATATGTTTGAATAAAAATAGACCACGTTAAGATTCCATGTATTGTTATTTCACCATAACCCTTTTACAGGGTTCTGAATCATCAGACTTTACTTCAAAAGCTTGAAAATTGAAAAAAGAAATTTACACGTTTTTTGACGGACCTCATCAAGTATACGTAAAATTAACGAAGTGAGGTGGAGAGGATATGAGTGTGTCATATGTATCATTTCAATTTTCTATTTTTAACCCTAGTGTGTCGGCTAGATGTTGCTCAAATTTAATGCGTTCGTCCCTAGATATAGATGGCTAAGGGGTGAATAAGAAGACCGACATTAAAGGAAGAAGTTACAACAACCCCAATCAATTACACGACAGGTTTCATTCAAATTTTAGACGCTGTTAATTTGCGTTACTTTAACGTGCATATTTGGGAGGTTAAGGTTTGATAAATATCTAAATGTTAAAACAATCTACGAAGAAATTAATTTGAAATTCGGTGGAGTTTTGGGTATTTTCTATGAAAACAGTCGATTGGAAAAAATTCATAGACAGTACATTGAAAGAGTAATCCATTTTATATTTAGTAATCTTTTTATTCTACTAAAACTTTTATCTTATTGCTTGTTAGGTTGACATCTATTCGTTTGATTTTTGTTCATTAAATAAACTCGTGATTGTTTTTAATTTTTGTTCATTAAAAATAAACTCGTGATTGTTTTTATGTACCCAATTATCAACGGTAATTCCCATTTAAATAATTTTATCATCAATAATGGGGTAGTACATTTCAATCTAAATTAAAATACCAATTTAAACTTTACCTTCGTGCTATTTAAAACTCACTTCCAATTGGAGAATATTAGAGGAGAGATTTGGATGAGATGTCACTAGCAGAAAATTAGGTCCTTCTTTTACAATCTTTTATCTACACGTCTTAAACCCCTATTTATATCCACATACCTATATCTTCTTATATGCCTATGAGTTCCTATATACACCTGCACACACATTCACACGAAAAAACCATATGTATATTTCCATATTTACACATATACACCTGCAGAGAAACGCATATCCATACATCTCCATACATATCTCCATATACACTTATACTTACATATATACTTATACACATAAGGACACCTGTATATCCATATACATCCATATACATACGCACATATATATTTACATACCTACATGTATACACATATACACATACACACACATATATGCATACATACATACACACATACATATACATACACACACATACATGCATATACATACGTAATATGCAGCATATCTACATACACACATATGCGTTAATTTGCACTTATATATATATATATATATATATATATATATATATATATATATATACTCTGCTGCATATAAAGCCTTTGATCTTACACTTAGCATAAAAAAAAAGCTGTAGTGCACCAACCTTGTCGTACTCCGAAGCAACTGCGTGGTGAGAAACAAAAACCACCAGTCTACAAATTTCCAGAGAGACCATTGAAAGTAGAAGACAAAGCCCTGAACTATGTAAAGTCTTTCACCTATCTTGGTAGCAAAGTCAAGTACAGTGGAACTTTAGATGATGAAATCAAGCATCGGATTACTAAGGCTACCAGTGCTTTTGACAAACTTCTCCATCGCTTATGGATTGATCGGGGTATTCGACTGGATACGAAAATTCGGGTTTACAGAGCTGTTGTCCTTGCCATCCTTTTGTACGGCTCAGATTCGTGCATTCCATACAGGTACCATATATGCCAGCTGGATGTTTTCCATAAAAGCTGTTTGCGTGCAATGTATGAAGTTAACCTTCAAGATAGGACATCTAACGTAGACCTGTTTAACAGCTGTAATATTGGAGGAATCGAGACTTTTCTCATACAATCTCAATTACAATGGACTGGTCATGTCTAGGGAATATCTGATGACAGGATACCCAAGATCGTAATGTACTGCCAGTTAGATTAGGGCTACAGGAATGTAGGATGCCCAGATGCGAAGAGCAACTTGTCAGCTGTCAATATACCTCATATAACCCTCAAGCGCCTTGGAGCAGGTAGAATGGAGATCAACGTGTTTTAGTGGACTCAGCAGAATCGTCTTCAAGAAGCGAGAGCAAGATCTAAAAGGTCAGCCAATCTAACAGTGATCTCATCCGACAATCCTCATTCTGGCTCTGTATGTGGCCTCCTTTGTAAATCACTAGCGAGTCTTAAGTGCCACTTAAGATTATCTCACAAAATTTTATAACTGAATCAATTAAGCTGTCAGATCCTCATACGTCGAAACGGACGGGAGAGTCCATTATTGT